TCAAATATTTACATTGTTTTCAGTAATTATAAGGATGAAGAAAAACATCAAAGTCGGTGCACTTAACATTTTTCAACAAGCTATCGAGAACCCTCGCCCAAGCCTACAACCACATCCTCAGATCTTCAAGATCTGGTGACCTATATACTCCTATCCTTTTAAAACTCTACAACCTTTTTCATGCGTCTGCCCACAAGGTAAGACAAGTCCTTTGGTTTGTAAAGGTACTTGTTTGAGCAATAGATGATGTGGGTTGTTCATCACGTCCCGATGATTGTATCCCTATACAATCAGAATTACTTTTCAACCCTTTTTTTTCGGGTGATCGTCCACTATGGAGATTTTAACGACATTGGTGCATACATAATATCTCACTATACCACAACCCAAATGCCACAAATTGAGCATCGAGTATGACAGTTTGTGTTTTTTTTACTGCACAATTTCCTTACTAATTTTATATGTTTTTGGTACCATGTTAAGCATAAAATAGTTAGATAATGAAAACTTGACTGTGAAGTTGGGTCGGAATAGATGAACGACTTGTATGTCACACCATTGATGAGAAAACAGTAGCGCAACGACCGGGTTGAGAAGCAGGGTAAAGGTAAAGCGGGGAATCATGTGCGTGCGCAATAACTTCACTACGCTTGCTAGTGAAATGTAATAAATTTTATGTGTGTGTGTGTGTGTGTGTGTGTGTGTGTGTGTGTGTGTGTGTGTATGTGTGTGTGCATATGTTTACCAATAAGTGATTTTTTTTCTTTTAAACCACTAGTACCTGTGTCACTGTTGGGAAATTAGGAAAAACTGATAGTTTTCCCATTTTCCCCGCAGACTTCGGACGTCAGGTAGGTTCGGCAAATGCAAAAATTTCCCCCCCCCCCAAAAAAAAAAAAAGCGGGGAAAGGCGGGTCTCGGTCCATTTCCAGTCCAACATAGGCAGGCCGGAAGTGGAAACGGTACCGGCAGCAGCGTGGCGGGCCACCGTCGGACCAACGGTCGTCCGTGGCTGGTTTTCGGAGGCAGCGACCGCGCGGACGAACGCCCGGTACCCGTGCAAATCCGACGTGCGGCCTGAAGCAAACTTTCGGCCGTTGCGACGACGGTGAGCGCTGCCGCCATCGCCCTTACGCCTCTCTCTCTCTCTCTCTCTCTCTCTCTCTCTCTCTCTCTCTCTCTCT